GTATTCATCAATCAATTCAATCAATAAAGATGTAGCCATTATAGAATCTCTTGCTCTCTTTCTCTTCTCCATCTTCTTCTTTCTACATTGTATTTCGTTATTTATCAAAAGGAGTGCGGGTGTTAATATTGATGCCACTATGGCTTGAATTTACTATTGAAAGACTGGAAAAATAAGAGAAATTGGATGCAGAAAAAAGTAGAAAAATGTCAGATTTCTTGTTTTACAATTTCTCACTGTAACCATCTCTCCCATCATTTCATTTTTATAATTTATGGACTTTTTCTTCTTCCACCGCTGCCTCTGCTTCTCTCCATGTCTTCCTCCCTACATCAACATCAGCTAACCACACATCATGACCCTCTGTGAACAAGTCTGTGTTAATTATGACCCGCAACAGATTCAAAATAGTACACTATTGTACTCCTCTTGACTAAGATCTGATTAGGCTCATTTTACAGTAACAGTAACGCAATCTTTTTGTTCTCACAAGGGGTTTCATTTGCAAAGCAAACATTTTTGCACAGAAAATATTGAGATTCTGAATTTATAGTGTTACAACACTATCAAACCTGAGTTTATACCCTAGATGACAAGGCAAGCATTTCATATGACCAAGCATGAAAATCTCTCTTAGGCAAATCCATTCAAAGAACAAAAGTGCACCAGCGCATGGGAGCAAGGATAAGCAACAGCGGTAATAACACACGCCAATAGATCTCAACAGAAGGATAGTGCCCTACCGAAAGGATAAGCACAGGGCAGCTTGCACATTACCACATTTGATAATATCAAATCATAAGAAAACCGTCAGTGCCAGACTAAAGGATCGAGTTACATTGAACCTTCTGAGTTTCGAAGACCGTCCTTGCAGCCACTTTGACCACTTGCCCACTCACATAGTGCTTCCGACACACAGGCATATATACTTCTGCCCCAGCAATAAGTTCTGTTTCAGTCTCGTCTGTCTTCCTCAAAGTAAAGAAAGCACGCTCACCACATAGCTCGCATCGTGCAGTTAACTTAGTTACAGAATCGGCTATAGGAATTATATCAAGCACTGCACCAAAGCTCCTCCTGCCAATCCCCAGGGGAGGAAAATCAAATTAACATCAAATAACAGGTCAGTATAAATCAGACTTTCAAGTAAGAACGCCTAAAGACATCGTGATAGCAAATGAGTAAAACGAAAGAAATGTGAATTGTGTCCACCATAAAATCCGTTTAAATTAACCAACAGTGATACCTTAAATAGTCACCATCCAAACCAGCAACTATGATAGTCTTGCCATCATGGTCTGCAGCTTTGCCACAGAATTCATATAGGTCTTCAAAAAATTGAGCTTCATCGATACCAATCACCTGCAGCTGTCATTGTGCCACGGGGAAAATATCATCTCGCACATTTTCCCACAAAATAAGTGAAATGTGCAGTATGATTGAAATCTGAGAGGCATTCACATTGTTCTTCCCATTAACATAAACATTATTCCATATCCAGCACTTGACATGTTACCATCTTGGATATGTTGATATCTATGTAAAATAGTTATTTCTAAACCAAATTCTGTATGTGCGTTACCTTATTATATGCTTCAGGACCCAGTCGTTCTCTGAATGAAGACAGATCTGCCAAGGGCCAACACGGTAATTTCTCTCCATCATGTGTTACAATAGAGTCTACAGCATATCTAGTATCCTTGTTTGATTTTATAATCGCTACATTTCTGCACAAAATAAAAACCAAACATTTTTACTATGAATATAAATATAATGGCAGATATTTAAGCATGAATCCACTTCTTTCCATCCCTGTTTCTTTTGGATACATCAGCAACTAGTCCCACTAAAATGAATGAGTGCATAAAACCAGTCGACTGACCAATATACTCAACAAATCAGCAATAATCACCATACATGTAAAGATGAGACTTTTACACTAAAAATTACAAGAAACATATATCTAAATATAAAGGACATGAAGATCTCAACAAATTTAAATGCCCATTCTTAAAGCTCAAATTGATAATAAAGTTACCGGAATGGTTTCTCAACAAATAGAAAAGAGTCAAACTCATACATTTCTAATCAGACTGCAATCCTTGAATCACAAAAGGGAAAGATTATCAACTCAAGCTAGCAATACATTCAGCATTTTTTGGTGCAGAATGAAGTTAACCATTAACCAAAGATCCATCCATCATTTAATTATGTGTTAACAGACTAACTTCTGGGTGTCACCTCCATCAAATTTGTATCAGTCAATTTATGATCCTAGATGTCCTATCTATGATAGTAATATACATTAAGCCCCTCCACCCCTCCAGCACACAGCTACCCACCAACCAAAAAACACTGATGCAGCTGCCTTTCTAGACAGATTGAGATAACTATTTTATAAAATTGATTTCTATATCATTATCAGAATATGTTAGGGAAAGATAGCACATTCCTAAAAGTCCCATGTCTGATCCAATTCCTGGTATATTACCTTCTGCCATTCCAAAGTAGAGCTAAGATCTGTGACTGTCAAAGCTAAGAAAGACATTATGCCTCATAGAGGTGGTCAGAAAAATGAAGAAATTTTTCCCCTTTAGGTTACTAGATCACTATTGTGCAACTATGATGCTCTTAGATGCTGAAGTCAGGGACATCTCGTGTATCTTTCAGAATACAAGCCATATCTTTAATCAACTCATATATCTGTTCAGTTTGTTTGTGTATATTATCACCCATAAAAAAGAAGTGGGCCTCCGCCTGAACCTCAATCATGCTATAACCAGGCTCCTTTTTAATCCCAGATTCCTTCATTATACTCCTAATCTCTGCAACATTGTTCCATAGGCCAAAAGTGGCATATGCATTAGACAAAACTATGTACTTCCCTGCATTCTCTGGTTCCAATTCAAAAAAGTTCTTTGCAGCAACCTTTATCATGTCAACATTTCCATGAATCTTGCATGCCCCTAGCAAAGCACCCCAAATTGCAGGGTGCTCTTTACAAGGTGAATTTTCAACAAACTTGTAGGCCTCTATTAACCTCCCAGCACGGCCTAAAAGATCAACCACAGCTGCATAATGTTTTCCTCTTGGCTGAACACCATAATCTCTCATCATTGATGAGAAATATTCATGACCTTTATCTACCAAACCTCCGTGGCTACAAGCAGTAAGTACTGCAAGAAAAGTGATTTGATTTGGTCGAAACCCTTCATTTATCATCTGATGAAAATATTCGAGAACCTCAAATACTTTTCCATGCTGACCATATCCAGAGATCAGAGCAGTCCAAGTTATAACATTTCTATCCAAAGACTTGTCAAATACTCGAAACCCATCACAGAGGCTACTGCACTTGAAGTACATATCCATGAGAGCACTAGTAACTACAATATTTTCACTAATTTGGCTCTTAATCAACACTGCATGGGCTTGCTTGCCTTGTTCCAGAATGGCTAATGATGCACAGGCCCTAAAGACCGATGCAAAGGTATATTGGTCTGGTATCAAGCCACATTTTCTCATCCGGTAATAAAAACCCAAACCCACTTCTTCCGTACCCTTCTGCACATATCCTGCAATCATTGCATTCCACGAAATTAAAGTTTTCGCCAACAAGTTATCAAAAAGAATGTGGGCAGTATCTAGATCTCCAGCTTTTGCATAGAAAATCATAAGTTTGACCTTCAGATACTCATCTGGAACAAATCCAGCAACTGTCATTTGCCAATGAATTCTTCTACCCTTCTTATATGCTTTCCTGAAAATGCATTCTTGCAAAAGAAGAGAATAGGTTCCAGATTCTACTTTCACTCCTGTGCGGCACAATATCCCAATAGCTTCTGATACTCTCCCAGTTAAACAGAGACCCTTCAGTGTTTTATCCAAAAGGATGGAATTCTTTATGGCATTGGCCTGAAAACTGGGAACACCTTAATAATGATAAGTTATTCAACCGTAGAACTTAAAACAGTGGGCAAACTTTTTGCTTTGGAGAGTAAACGAGGAGATATTCGAACTCATCAAAAGTCCAAACAGCATATAGAAGAGGTCAATACTCATGTATCATATTTCACTATTCAAGTTCCATTATAAATCAAATTTATCATCTCAGCTAGCGAGAAAAGAAATACACAGGAAAAAAAAAAAGATAAGGTTTTTTTTTTCTAAAACTATATCATAGCATTTTACCGCCAAACTATACTAATGACTCAAATACTCATAAAGAATTGAAACAAATGAGGAAAATATATGCCAACCTGCCATTACTGCTCTCGAGCTTAATTCTCCTGAGAAGCGTAGTGGTCTTGCCAGCGAACATGGGGCCCACAATCACGTGAATTTCACCAGATCTCGAAGCGGCCTCAGTGTGCAAGCTTCGAATTCGATTACGATTGGAAGGCTTCGCACAGTTTACAAGAGAATGCATCACAGAAATTCTAGATAAAAAATTAGGGCTTTGGAGATATTTAGCAGCGTGCATATTTATGGAGATTTTGCGTAAAATAATGGATTGTTCAGAGTGGAAACAGCAGGAAAAAGGAGTAGTAACGTTATTGGAAAGTGTTGGGGAGAGATTGAGGAACGATTTCATTCTTGATAAAGTTAACATGTATATATATGAGTGCGTGCGCGCGCGCGCGTTTGTGGGGCTTCTTTTTATGGCTTCTTTTTCAGATTACTGTGTGGAGAGATTGAAATTGAAGAACTCAAAACGTGTTGAAGGGAATTTCTTGTCAATGGCGTCGAAGGGTTTTGAGGTGAGATAGGGAAGGCAACACTGGTTTTAGGGGTTTAGGGTTGGAGGGAAGACTAAAGTGATGGGACCCATACTGGATTAAATTATCTCCATGGTCCAAAAAATGGGAAAATAACTGGAGAAGTCCTCATCTTTTCCGAAGCATAACAAGTTAGTCCTCGAAAGGATTCTTCTCCATAAGAATGGCCTTATTTAACAACTTAATTTAGGCCTTGTTTGGCAGGATTTCATTTCTGCTCTGCAGAAAAACATTCAGAAACTTGTCTCCATGCAACTTTCTATAAAACTTTTTCTAACCAAACAAAGAACTTCCAAAAAATTACCAAAATATGATTAAAGGCAACTTCTTAATCTCAAAATAGGAATGTGTGCGCATAAATTTCAAACATGCTCAAAAACAATGAGTCACAAATGTAGATGGGAAAAAAATAAAAAATCATGCAGTCAAAGACTGAATTTATTTGAGGAACCTAACACCATGTGAATACTGAACATTGTCAAAAATTCTTTCCCCTTTAGGTCATTTAAAATTTCTAATACAAATTCTCCTATGGCCCAAGGATAAAGAAAAATACTGTTTCCTTTCATTTTCAAGAGTAACAACAATAAATAAATAAAATAAAAATTAAAGAAGATGTCTGAAAGGGCTTCAGAGAATCATCAGTTCAATGGTGATATAAAATCACAGGAATTTATGATGAACAGCACCCAGCTTTCTTCGTTTGCCCATCTGCTTCTGGGCTCTCATCACCCTGTAAAACGACCGTTTTTCCATTTCCCATCCACCCAGGATCTTTTTGCTTCAGCTCTTGAGATTGCATGACCTTACGGCTCAAAATATTGTAAATCTCTCTAACTACTGTCTGAAATGCAAATGAGACACATTGGACGAATCCAGAGCTGACGTTTCAATGAAGAATAGACCCTGTGCCTCGGCCAGATCTTTGCCTTCAGCAGTTGTAACTTCTCTAGCATCTTTGAGATCAGATTTATTGCCCACCAGTATTGTCACTACATTCATGTCAGAGTGAGCTGTTGAATAAATTAACCTTAGAAATCAGGCCTTGTTACCTCAAGATAGAGAAGAAATGTTGAACAATCCAGTATAGCATCTATGTTATACCTTATTTTTTTCGCCCGCCCGCCCACCAATGTGAAAATCAGGGATCCGCCTTTGGTAGTGTATTACTGACATGCAATGATACACCAGGCACTCCAGATAGAACCTTTTTTTTCCAACATTTAACAAAATTCCGAGATACCAGTTGACTTCAGATCTAGCGAAAAATCTTGCATCTAAGTCAACGAGATAAAAGTGTCACTAGAACCACATTATTTTAAACTAAATTGAGATAGACAATTGCACTCAAGAACAACATAGTATAACATCATTATTTATCAAAACCATAGTGCATTCTAGCAGCAATTTAAATGGTGGAGATAGTTAAAAGAGATGGGACGAGAAAACTAAAAATGGATGATTTAATCATGAATTTCACATTAATTCACGAGAACAAGATACTTACGTGTTTGCACAGATCATAATTTCGGACAAAATTAAACTTTTCCTAGTAAATGTTCAATTATTTCCAGTACATTAACATTGTCTCTTCTCGAAAACCATCAGAATAATAAAACTTAGGGCAGAACATGATAAACAAGTTTCGAGCATTGACTTAGAGCTTGTTTGGGAGAGATTTTTGGGGGAAGAATTGATTGTGAATAGTGATATGATGGGATAGGGATTTTTGGAAAAGAATTGATTTTTGAATAGTGATATGATCCGAAATGTGTGGTTGAAAAAGAAAAAAAAATTATTGATGTGATGGAAAATATTATTTTATTGAAGAATGTATGATTGAAAATGAGAATTGATTTACTGTAGAAAAATTTAATTCTTCCCAAACAGGGCCTCAAATAATTGAGTTGGGCAGGGTGATCACAAATTTGGATAAGCAAGAGTTGTAAAGCGTGGGTCCAGGCAAGAGGAAATTCTAAAGGGCAGCTCTAGGTTAGTAAATAATTTTACTAGTTCTCTTGGAAACCTCTAACAAAAGAGTCAAGATGGCCGAGTTGGTCTAAGGCGCCAGTTTCAGGTACTGGTCCGAAAGGGCATGGGTTCGAATCCCATTCTTGACAAATTCTGTGATATATCTTTTTGGTTCTTTTGACAGTGTAATATAAGCCCTTATTTGATACTCATTTTTTTTTAAATACATATTTATTTTTTCTTTTCAATCACACATTATTTAATAAAATAATATTGCACACAAACTCAAAATATTTCCTTCTTTTTTAACTATACATTCTCCATCAATCTACAATTTCAAAATATATTCTTAGTATAAAAATGAGAAACAAACAAGCTCTCCGTTTTTCACTTTTCTTCTGCAAATTATTTTTTTGTCCTCTATAGAAGTTCATCGACGAAAATATTTTCTTGATCCGGAGAATCTTAGAGGAGAGACATATAACAAAATTCATTGATTTATTATATCTATTGTTACATGTCAAATGATATTTTACTTGTAACATAATATGAAGATTCATCATGGAATTTATGTTGCTTGTTCTTCTGAGGATCGTATATGAACGGGGCATCGATCAGGATTACAAAGAAAGCCAAATATTTTAACATTCATCACCAACACTATCGGGGCTTCCCCCACATTAGCAGGTCATGTATGAATCACATGTTATATAAGTACTATATGATCCAGTTGTACGTATATATTTTGAAAATTTAGTTTAATCGTCGAACTCTCGTGCTTAAAGATGCACTGGCAGGCCTCGAAGAAGACTGGCGCAATGCAATTTCTTTTGGGTTTAACCTAAATTTGCTAAATAAAAATGAAAAATTGAATTATTGTTTGATAATAAAACAGAAAAAGGAAAAAAAATTAAGAAATTAAGTCTCGTGGTAGAAGTAAATAATATTCGAATAAGGAATGAATCTTATAAAAAGAGTTCAAGGTACTTTTTCTATAATTCAATGGCATCGCAGTAGGAAGAATTGTGATTGGCACCAAGGTGGAGTGAATTTCTACATATCCAAAATTGTAAGTCTAAATATAAAAACTTTAAAAAAAAAAAAGGTACATTAACCAAGTACATGGTAAAGCACCGACACTACATCAAAACCAAGATTCAAAAAAAAAATGGCCCTCTTTGTACCGCAGAACAAAACACAGTTGGATTTTGCTGGTCTTACAGTTTTGGCTCACAGTAATTTTGACAGTCTTTTGAATTTGTTGACGTGGCAATGACCCGGCCCAACTAATCAAAACTCACCCGGCCCAGTACAATTGAAAAGCGGTAATTTCCCAAAGGATCCCATTTCCCACCTTCCCCAAATCTCCCCCCTAATTTTTCACCGCCATTCCCCCCCACCCCCCCGCCCGACGAATATTTAGCCCACCAACCCTCCCCGTCACTATGCTTCCCGTCGATTCCAGCCACGCTTGTGCCCGCCGGTGGTGTCGCCGTCCTCCCCATCCCTGGTCTCCCCAGCCGCGGTCGGTTTAAACGGAAATCAGAAAGAGAATAGGCAAATCGGAGTTCAGCCTGTCGGTGGTGTCGCCGTCCTCCCGGTCCCTGGTAACCTATCCATTCGTTTCTCTCATTTTCATTTTCTTTTTTTTTTGACTATTAGTACAAGAGTTTTGCTGGTATAATCCTGCTTAGGGCGAGGACTGAGTTCGAGTAATGGTGACTCCACATAGGCATAGATGGTCGGAGTTTCGAATTGTTGTGTAATGGGATTGTTGTGAACAAATTGGTTTCCTTCAGCAAGGTCATTGTTGTGAACGGGGTGAAATGGGATTTTTATTTTTTTGGCATAATTTCCGGCTTCGCTGTAATGCCATAGTTGGTTGAATTCTCCAGCAAGGTCATTGTTGTGAACGTAATACTATGGGATTTGTAATTTTTTGGCTTGTGTTCGATAATTTCCAGCTGCTCTGTAATGCCATAGTTGGTTGAATTCTCCAGGAGTTTCGAATTGTTGTGAACGGGGTGAAATAATTTTTTATTGCTGTTTGATATTTGCCATCAATGGATATTTCTAATTTCATTACAGTATGTTCTATGTTGCCTTTGTATGATTATCATCTGTTGCCTTTGATTCCAGCTTCTCTGTTGCCTTTATCTGATTATCATCTGTGGATAACCTGATAAAAGGGTTTGTAACTAGTTTCTTGTGCAGGCAGATGGTATATATTATTTGTGCCAGCTTGGTTTAAGACTACTCCGATGGCAGGAAAGAATAGGGGAATTTGTCATAGTTGTAGACAGGTTGGTCATATGATGTCGGAATGCCCAAAAAAGATAATGTGTCCAAATTGTCGTGCGGGCTACATCGAGTGGATGGAGGTCGAAAAGAACAATGAACATAAAGGGCTACTGTTTCATTGCTGTACCCGCGATTGCAAGTATTTCAAATGGTGTAAAAATGAGCCAAACGATAAATGTCTGTTGCACGATCACGGTGAAACAAGTGGCATTACAAACGGAGGTGAGCCGATCGATGATTTGTCACGTATGTTGAAAACTCTTGCCAAGCTAATGGATGAGAAAGACTTGGAGATTTCACTCAACATAAAGATGTGTAAGGGGAAAAGAGTTTTGGATGACGTTATCTAAACTTTGATGTACTAGAATGGTACTTGAAAGGGATGTATCCGGCAAAAAATTAGGTCATTTCAATGTGAATTTGAACTTGAAAATGAAGTTTGTAGTTTTGAAAATGAAGTTTGTTGGAGTTCGTAGTTTGTGAAAACGAAGTTTGTAGTTGTTTGTACTTGTGAAAATGAAGTTTGTGAAAGTTTCGATGGCAAGTATCTAACTTTTTTTGACATCTGATGAAAGTGTTATTCTTACAAAAACTTGTTTGCAAATGAATTTGGCCATTTTGCTCATTTAAGTTCACTAACACATTCGAGCTATTTACAAACATAAAAGCCATTACAATTTGAAATAAACACAACTTATAAAGGGTACGTCATCAACAAGTCATTACAATCTGAAATAAACATAACTTACAGCTGCAAATCAGTACAAACATTATGTTTTTCCATTACTAAAATACACGTGCTCATTGATGTTCATTGATACGATTGAAAAATGGTCTTATTGAAGAACCATGTAGTTGACCGTCCATTTCAGAACCAGCTGCTTGATAAGTCATTCCAGACGTTGGAGTATGAATGTGAGCGGACAGACCTGCAACAACAGTACCCTGTGGAATGGCCTGGGTGGTACTTGACATCCAACCGGGTACGATACTTTGAGGAGGTGATATCAGTGGTTGGAATGGCTGCAAGAAGAATCAGTCCAAAATATAAATTTCATGAGAAAACTATGCGAAATGAAAATGTTAGAAAATAATGAGGCCTTTAAGTTTAACGAATTAATCTTTTTACTTACAAATATCATTTGTGAATATGGCCAGGGTGTGGGTATGGAATATACTGCTTGTTGGGTTGTCTGAATGACATGTGAATCTTGGCCAAGACTTGTTTTTCTCGATCTCGGTCTAGGCGTCTGTACGATAGTAAAATAATGTATATTCTCTATTTGTTCGGATAATGAAGGCAAAAAATTAAAAAAGAAGAACATAATACCTTTGATTTCTTTGAATGTAACTCCAATGGGCTTTTGTTACGAGATTTCTTTGGCGCCCCTTTTCTTTTCGAACACTGAGGATCTTGTATACTTCCTTCACATGTATCTTGCGATACTCTAGATTGAGATCCTAAATGCAAACTAAGCAGGGAAATGTTATTACTCTCACAAATCAAATTCGTAGACATTAGCTCTTTGGATTGTGACCGAATCCAATCAACTATCACACGGGATCGATCCTCATCTTCTGCGACAATGTCTGCTAACGTAGCAAATTCTGCACACATTTTGTCATACCTCATCTACCCAGGAGTGCTAACCAAACCATCATAGTTCACGACAACCCTTGTGTGGGCTCTACAAACATCTCTCCTCCACCTCCTCAATATGTATCTATCAGGTATTGACGTGACTCCATTACGCATCAACACCGATATGGCATGTCTGCACAAAATACCCCGAAACTCAAAGAGATGACAACTGCAAATAATATTGCACTCCTCTGCACGAAACACCACATAAAATTTTTTCTTCCTCACCTTTTCGTCATAAATGACATCTTCCTCGACCTGGTACGTCCTACCGGAACATCCATCCGATGCAGATACAATATCGCAGTAAACCTTCCCAGTAATCTCATCTTGAAATTCCTGAAACTTGGATATGGTATAAACTGATTGGAATTGCTTTTCCATTTCATATTTCGTTGCACACGGTACCATCTGTGAATAAGATTTGAAATCTGCTTGGAACTCCTTTTCAACCTTATTTCTTAATGCTCGTTCGTACTGTTCGACGAATTGCTTCAACGATGTCTTAGAATGTACATACCCAT